TTTTGTCTTATTCTGGAAACATATGTAGTGCCATTTGAGGGTAATACCACATTGCAAGGAGCAAAATAAACAATATCATTTAATTATTTAATATTATTAAGTAGTAAATATCAATTTGCCACAGGACGTAGTACAGCTATTGCCAGAAAAGTGTCTCCTTTGTGAAAAAACTTCATGTGTTTGATAACATAGCTTGTTTTGTTTGATGTGAAGCAAACCACACACCTGACACAAGCTGTTATGTGCCAAATAAGGTGCTAGCTGCACAGTGCACGGGAGTGAGTGTGATTCAGAGGTGTCTCTGCCCGGTCATTCGGCTCCTGGAGTCCCTTGCCAAGGTCTCCCGTCTTCATGTTTCCAAAGAAAAGAAGTCAGTCATTTAAAGTGCAGGGACCTGTGTGCTGAAAATGTCCCTGATACCATTTGACTGGATGCTAAAATTGAACAAATATTTTCCCTCAGTAGATGCTGCAGAGTTTTGCTCGTTTTCAAAGTTTGTGATTTTCTAAATTGTAGGTCAGAGCTCAAGCTAATGAAAATCAGTGAAGAAAAGGATTTTACAGATTTATGTGTGAAACAAAAGTACATGAGCATTTTCTCAGGGAATCGTAGGTAATGATCTCCCTCCCGTGAAGCCAGTTTGCTAAGTGCTTTCAGATCCACTGGGAAGACCCTGACAGTGGGTAGCTGCTCAAGCTCCTAAGAATGGATGTGAGGTCTCTGTGAGAGATCTCTGTGGGAGGTGTCTGTCAGAGGTCTCAGAGGATGTCTCTTGTGAGATCTCTCCACGTGGGTGTCTGTCAGCTATCTTTCTGCTGTCTCTGTCAGACATCTCTGTATGTTTTCTTTGTCAAAGTTTCTATGTAAAGTCTCCGTGAAGGTCGCGCAGTGTGGATCTCTATCAGAGGCCTCTGTGGGGGTCTCTATTCTGCTGTCTCTGTCAGACATCTCTGTATGTTTTCTTTGTCAAAGTTTCTATGTAAAGTCTTCGTGAAGGTCGCGCAGTGTGGATCTCTATCAGAGGCCTCTGTGGGGGTCTCTGTGTTGGGTCTCTCAGTTATCTCTCTGAGTTGTACCTCTGTCAGGTCTCAGTCAGAAGTCTCTGCAGAGGTCTCAATTGGGTCTCTGTCAGAGGTTTCTGCAGAGATCTCTCAGCTGGGTCTCTGTCAGAGGTATCTGTCAGTGGTGTCTGTTTGGGTCTCTGTCAGAAGCCTCTGTTCCTGGTCTCTGGAGGAGACTCTGAGCCTGATCTCTGTTGGGCGGGGGTTCTGTCAGAGCTCTCTGGGAGGTCTGTCAAGTCTCTGGAGGTCTCTGTCAGAAGTCTCTGTTGGGTTTCTGTCAGAGGTCTCTGGGAGGTGCCTTGGATTGAATTGTGTCCCCAAAGTCCATGTGTTAGAAAGTTAACTCTGATTGTGACAGTGTTAAGAGGGATAGATAGGACCTTGAAGAAGTGATTAGACTGTGAGGACCATGCCCGAGTAAATGGATTCATCCATTGATGGTTTAATGGTGATCATTTAATGGTGGGGGCTGCGGAACAGTCCGCGGCAGGGCTGTGTAGACTCCTTGTGCGGGTCCTGCAGCTGCATCAGGGGTGGAGGCATGTGGGGGCTGCGTGGCCCTCTGCAGCAGGGCTGCGTGGACCTCTGGTGAGGGTCCCGAGGCGGCGTCAGGTCCAGAGCTACATGGGGTCTGTGGTGCAGCCGGCAGCAGTGTCGAGTGAACCTCTGGTGAAGGTGTTTCTCTTGCTGCTCCCAGAGCTTGGGGGTGATGAGGTCCCCTGAGAGGAGGGAGACTGACTCTTGGTCCAGGAAGGCCCCGCTGTAGAGAGTGAGTTGGCTAAAGGCTTCCTGGTGTTTCTTGATGACAGAGTAAATCCCTTCTACTTTCTTGTTCTTTCTTCAAAAGGTGACCTCTCACGTGTTGGGTGGAGGTTGGGATAAGAAGTTGGGCCCTCTGCTGGTTTGTAGGGCTAGGTGATACCCGGACCATGATGTGTGGTGAGTAGCACGGTGGGATGGGGAGACAGGATGAGGTGTGGGGCTGGCTCTGGATCTGAGCCAGAGGTGAGGGCTCAGACAGTGGCAAGGCTAGAGTCAGAGGTTGGAGTTAGGCCACATGGGGGGACCAGAGCTGGGGGTGAAAATATTGTGGAGATATATGAGTCTGAATTTGTACCAGAAAGTAATTGGAGACTTCATGGAATAAAACAGAGGGAAGCTCTAGTGGGGGACCAGAGACCCTGATTGAAGCCACCAGAGACTCATGGTACAGAAAGAAGAGGCCCTAGAAGAGCTGGCTGCATTTCTGCTGTAAATGGGCCTCAAAGACCTTGGGGTAAGAGAGCGAGAGCTGCTGGGGACCGGGAGAGCATTGACAGACAATCTCTGGTTTGCCTTTCATGCTCCAGAAAGGTTGTGGGGTTCTGGTGTTCCATTCATCACCCAGTGATTGTAGCATATTCCACAGTGAATCCAGGGGATGGTCTGATTCCTCCTTTTCTTCTTCATTCCAAAAGCTCAGTTCTACTGTCCTGGAAATTAGTATGACCAGCAGCTTCTGGACATTGCAGTTGACCAAAGTGGGGCCACCAGCCTCCTTCTGCCAATGTGTGAGGTCTACCCAGAACGAGGCCTCTAGTAGGTGGAGAGAAAGACATTCTTGTTGGGATTGGCTGTATGACAAGATGGATAAGGACACCATCTTGGCAGCCACTTGCCACCAGGAGAGGGCTGAGATTGGACAGCTTAGGCAACCAAGGCTTAAGATAGCTAGGACAGGAGTGTCAACCAGCAGCTATTGTGTGGACACAAGGTCTGTGGGATGGAGCCCAGCAGGAGTGCCACCGAGTGACACTGAGAAATAGCCAGGCTGGAGACTGGTGGAGGCAGATGGGAGGCCGCAGGGTCCAGGGGTTTTGATGGGGAGGAACGGGTGCGAATGGCTGGGGGGAGAGGAGGTCTAGTGGGAGCAAAGGCTCTTGTGGTTGAGAGGCACCCAGGGTTTAATGGGAGCCAAAAGAAACCATGGAGGTTGTTGGGCCTAGTGACAGGGTGGAGGTCACAGACAGAGGACACTCACCCAGAGGAGCTGGGGCATCCTGTTGGCACGTGGTGATGGGACCAGCATCTTCCACATGCTTCCCCCACAGCTGGTGGATTCTGGCAGGTGCTGCTTTGCACACCTCACCGGGAGAGTCGGGGATCTCCACCAGGTGGCTGCAGGAGACAGGAGACACATGCTGTAGCCAGGAGCGGATGGGCCAGGAGCGGTGCCTGCACCCATGGCCCCTCCACTGCCCATGCGCTGACTTCATACAGCTCCTGCGACCTCTGCCCCAGGACTTTAGTCACATCCAGTCCCCTTCCTTGGCCCCCCCTCCCAGGTCCACCCCAGTCCCTGGGGTCACATCATAGGCCCTCGTAGGAAGGAGGATGTGGGAGAGAAGGGGAAAGTTCCTCACCTTTGCTGATGTGAGATCAGGCCCTGCGCCTCCTTCAGTACCCCCAGGCCATCTCTTCAGGCTGAAATCAGGAGACTTAGTTATGGTAGAGGGAGGGGTCTGGGGATGTTACGGGAGGCTTAGTGCAATGTCCTTTAGGGGATACCATGGGAAATTAGCCCATAAAGCTCTAGCATCAGTGTCCAAGGCCATGAGATCTGTGACAGTGACAGCAAGGCTCGTGGATGGGCAGCGCTTTGTCATTCACAAAGTGCTTCCATATCCAGGACCCCATGGTCCTCACAACTGCCCTCTGGGGGAGGAAGGGCGGTGTCACCTCAAAGAGGAA